TATTGGGCCCGGCTCCAGGGGTTCTGATCTGTGGTATTGGGCCCGGCTGCAGGGCTTCTGCCAGTGAGGCAGCAGTAACGCTGACCCTGTCCTGGCAGGTCGCTCAGAGTGCGGTGAGAGTGCTGTCAGAGGGAGCTGCAACTGGGCTGAACGTCGTCGCTGGACTCTGTATCGAGCTGCTGAAAACTGCAGAGGTCAATGGTGAGAGATGATGTTCAGTGGCTCACATGTCATTCTGATCTCCCTGTGCGCAGGGTGCACTCTGCACTGACACTGTCCTGTTGTCCCGCACAGTCCGCCTGACCACGCCACTCTTCACTGCCGAGGAGGTCGCCAAGATGATGCAGTGGGGCCTGGCCACCCTGATTGGATACTGGCTGATCTCCCTGGCGCTGCGATTGGTTGGCTCTGTGCTGAGGCGGGTCCTGTGGCTGGTCAAGTTCAGCCTGTTCATGTGGGCTTTCTTCTCCATCCTGTACCACGTGGAGGATCCGTACAAGAGGGCTGTGCTCCTGGTGGCCCTACTGGTTGTCTCCGTGCTCCTGGGGGGGCTGCGTGGGGCAACGGCAGACGACAAACACCGGAGTCTGGAAGCCAAGATGGCAATACTGGAGAAACAAATACTGGACCTGAAAAGGAATTCTGGAAAAAAGAACGCCATTAGGGAGTGAGAGAGAGGTGTTAATACAGTACAAACACACTGACTGGACACTACAGGACATTAACACTGCACTGAGAGAGAGGGGTTAATACAGTACAGACACACTGACTGGACACTACAGGACATTAACACTGCACTGAGAGAGAGGGGTTAATACAGTCCAGACACACTGACTGGACACTACAGGACATTAACACTGCACTGAGAGAGAGGGCTTAATACAGTCCAGACACTACAGGACATTAACACTGCTCTCCAGTGAGAGACAGACCTGTGACGGGTGGTAGATGACACTGGTGACCTTCTTGGTGTGTCCCTTCAGTGTAGCCATGATGTGCTCAGCATTCTTGTCAAACACAACCACATTCTTGTCAGCGCCACCTGAAACAGAAGCACGGGAGGTAAGGGGAGAAGGGCCGGTGGCTCAGCGCAGAGAGGGGAGAGCGATCCGATGGCGTCCTCACCTGTGAGCACTTTGTTGGTGTCCGTGGGGCACAGATCCAGGGCCAGGATACCAGGGATGCTGGCGCTGTGCAGGCCCTGCAGGAGAAGGAGAGATGGTAAGTCTTCATGTGCCACCACTGCAGCTGAACACAAAGACTCCTCCCTTATCCCAGCAGTGAGCTGCGATCCTTGCTGGGCACAAGGTCACAATTCCCATCAAACCCAGCTCTGCAATCCAACAGGAGCCATACG